AGGGGTAGCTGGCGGGGGCAGTGACCTGGGAAGGGGCAGGCTGGCCTGGGAGCCCACGTCGGCCAGGACGCCTGGCTGCCCCCCGTTGGGGGGAGTAAAGGGGAACTGAATGAGAGCACGGATTGACCCGGCAGCCCTATCAAATGCGTTTGTGCTGCAGGACCTGCTTGCGTTTTGGAGCAGACAACGTACGTTTACGCCTTTTCAGAAACAGCTCTCAACTAACTGGAAAGGCTTAGAAGAAGGTTGAGTGAACAGTCATGGAGATTGTGTAGGATCGATCCCAGCAGAGGGGAGCAGGCGTGTCCGTGTGATGAGTCGGAGTCTGGAGCCTGGTTCCTGCTCCCCACGGAAGGAGCCTCGTGACCCTTCACGCTGTCCTCTGGGCGACACCCAGACCTCTGTAGATAGGTCTGCATTGTAGATGGAAAAGCTTCTGGGTCAGGTTTTGCTGGTGGTTAAAATCAGCCTTTAAAAATGAATTTTAAATGGGAAATTGGGAGTGATCTGAATTCCAGTGTTATCAAATGTAATTGGAGCTGTGCACAGCCATTGAAATCATGCGTGGGAGCATTGGACACGCATGGACTCACAGGGAACTCGGCACAGTTCACACCGGGGTCCCGCCCAACCTCCTGCCAGCCCGTCAGCAGCAGGTGCTGGCTTCTTTTTTGGACAGAAGGTGTCTGTTTCTGCTGCCTGGTGGCTGCACGCCTGCCTCCCCCTCCCCCATCACCCTGCACTGGGGTACTGGGGGGCCCTTGCAGCCTGCCCCCCAGGTCCTGGGCACCCACACATTTTAGCACCACCCTCCAGAAGTGAACATTCTCCTCTGTTTCACTTATTTAGAAGGAGGAGTTCCAACAAAATGTCAGAATGACCGGAAACTACGTTAAGTCTATCTTCTGTTAAAAACGTCCATTTTGAGGAAATCCATGTAGTAAACTTCAAAACAGAATTATATCTATAATTATTAATTAATAAAGTTATCACAGCCCTTTTTTGAAATTGTCAGAAATATGTTCTCTGTATTTTCCAGATTTTTCACATTTAATATATCTTTTAATATCAGGTTAAAAATAACTTAATTAGGAAACCACTTGCTTAAGGCAAGAATTCACATAGTTCTAATACATACAAATAGTGACAATGAAATAGGCTAGCTCCAGACCAAGCCACTCTGTCACTCACTGCCAGCAGGCCCTAGATTAAATCCCAATCTAGTTAAAGAGTCCTCTTGATTAAATTACACACGTACACAGGTGGTCACGTACCATGTGCCTATGCAGATGGAACGCAACACTGTTGAGAGCCTTAATTTTACTGAACTGAGTACAGTATCTTGGACATCCTTCCATCTCAGTGGCTGCTTTATTCTTTTTAACAGCCACATAGTATTCCAACCTAGGGATGTGCCACAATTCACATATAAATAAATGTACTTATATATAATACACACGTGTGTCCACACACTCATACACAAAGATGGACTTCTAGGTGTTTAAAGTTTTCCCTTTGAATAGCCTCATCCTTGGGTGTCTTAGATGCACGTGGGGCGTTTCTGGCAGAGAACTGCTGGGTCAGAGGTTCTTGCAGGTGTTGCCGGGGCCACAGGAGGTGACCCAGTGTACGTGAGCTCTGCCCCAGACACTCGCCTCGGCACTCCCTAGCAGCTGTGTCATGCTGGCTATAACGTGTAGACCTACCCACACAGGACAAATGGGATGGAGTGTTTATTGCCATTGAAGGTCTCCATTTCACTGACCTGGGCACCTCTGGGAGGGTGGGGTTCTGGGCTGGGTGAGGAGTGTGGACAGAAGGGGCTTGAGGCCCCTCCCGTCCGTAACCACAGAGTGTGGCCGTGGGCTCAGGGACACCTGGGCTCTGAGCCTGAGCTCCTGTGGGCTGGGCGAGGCTGGCAGAGCCCGAGACACCATGCAGGAAGGGACTAGCTGTGCTGGCAGCCAGCCCCTGCTTTGAAAGCCTGTAGAGTCTCCTTAGCAAGGTCCCAGGTAGGAAGCCAGACCCGGCATTAAGCTCTTCACAGGGTCACTCGGGTCCACAGAGCAACAGGGTGTGGTAGGCACTGTTATTAGACCCACTTTCTGGATAAGGAAGCAGAGGCACAGAGAAGCCCAGAAACTTCCCCAGGGACACACAGCTGGTAAATGGAGGAGCCAGGCCTGTAACCCCGGTCATTCTCACCACAGAACCCCCTGCGCTGGTCCCATGCCACCTGCGCATTTTCTACATGCTGAAGAGAAGAACTGGCTATTGCTGGGGCTAAGGGACCTTCAGAAGGGGAGGTCACCGCTGCAGGACTCGGGCAAGATGCGCGTAAGGCAGAGCCCACTTCACCGGGCCCCCTGCTGTTGTCAGGAGTGGCCGCGCTCCTGCCCTCCCGGCCTGGTGTGGGGTGAAGGCCATGCTCCTCAGGCGGGAGAGGGAAACATTTCTGTTCTGATTTAATTTCATTACTATTTTGCAAACGGACTCTTGCATTCTTTTTAGATACCATTATAAGAAGTTAGAAGCCTAGTGAAAACTACATTGTTGTACTTGCATGAGGAATATGGGTTTTGCAGTCTTTAGTGCAGTGATAGCTAATTATAGCTTGTGGGGTTTTACCTTGAGAAAGAAGAAAAATTGCCATGATGAGGGCTGCAGGCCACCGGGGGCCAGGCCCCTGTGGTCGCCCGAGGCCGGAAGTGTGTATTTTTACCCGGGAACCGCGGGGCCAGGGCTGTTTGGCCGAGGGAGATACAGAGACTCGGCCTGAAGAGGAAATAAGGTGCCGGCCCGGTGCCCTACGTGAGGTCACGAGAACAGACACACAGACCCCTACCCCGCCTTCGGGTGTTCCTCACCGTGCAGTGCGGGTGATGGGACGCGTCTTGTCCAACCACAGAACAAGCAGCTCAGCTTTCATTGATTAAAATGGCAGAGCTTAGTGAATTTCTAGAAGAGCCGTTTTTCTCTTTATAACCCTTGGTTTTCCTGTTGTTTATCTGCACCTCTTATCTGTGCGTGAGTCACCCTTGCCCATAAGTGTTTCCAGCCGTCTCCAGGTGGCTGCTGGGCCCCGCAGGCCAGGGAGACAGGAAAGCTCCGCAGTCGTTGGCGTCCCACCTGTCCACCAGCTGAGCCATCGCCCCCCCAGCATTTCAGTGGAAGGCGGGTTCCGCCGCGTGCTGAGTGGATGTGGCCCTGTCTAGACACTTCCCTGCTTGCTCAGATGTGAACTTATTTTTGCTGACGAGTGGCAGTCAGAGGCAGCCACCGCTGCAGGGAAGCCCACACCCAGTCTTTGGAAGCCTTGCCGCAGCAGGTCCTGCTGAATCCTAACCATTTCCACCTGTCACTTTGGGGTCTCATTTGCTAACTTGAGGTGTTTGCTCAGGATTCGGGGAACATGTCAGGCCTCGAGGGGCCCCAGGTGACCCTGGAAATCGTGTTGCTCTGGGTGGACGTGTAAGAGTGGGGTGCACACTGGTCCCACTCCTCAGGGGCTGTCTGTGAGGGAGACATGGTGCACCAGCCGTGTTCCTGGGAGCCCCTCCTACTTCTCAGTTGTCTTTGGAGAAATGGCAAGAATTGTATAAGTTCTTAAAGCAGAAGAAAATAACACTGCAACTAACAAAATGCTAGAGTTTTATTCTGAGGTTTAAAAAACATGTCAGCTCATTTGCTGCCATAGGGCTTGGCTGGTAACCAGCCGCCCGGCCGGCAGTAACCCTGCGGGGGCTCCGTGGAGAGTAACAAGCACCCCAGGAACCTGCTACCCCAGTGTGGAGGTTCTTCAGTGGGCTTATGGACGGCACTCAGAAACAAAGAAAAATGGGAGTCCAAACAGGTTCTTCAGGAAACCATTGTCCTGTAAATACTTTGTGTGCGTCTTTGCTTTCCCTTCACTGCCTCACACCTTGGGGTTTCAGGGAAGGTGAGTTCGGAAGGATATATCTGGTTAATAGACTGTGCAGGGATTCTTACTTGGTTAATAACTGTGACCGTGGCTCATATCTGAATGGCTCACTTTGCAGGGAAGGGGCAGCCATCTGGTTTGGGGACCAGCTCCTTTACCTGGGTGACCAGCCGAGTTGCATGTCCTTTGTTTATGGGTGAGCGATTGCACACTCACTCCTATTTGCACAAGTGCACAGATGTCACCTGATCCTGGGTCAGAGTCAGCTGCTAGAGGGTCCAGAAGTTAAAAGAAAAATTACGGGTTTCTTTATAGTGGCGTTTCAGAATTGATACTGAGTTACGTGGATGAAAAATTTGTTTAAATGTTCTTGTTTCCCATTATTTCCAGAGCGAAGATTTCGGAAGACTTCTTCCTAGAGTCGATTGGGAAGTTTGAAGAGGCACAAGATACAGGTAAAGGCACTTTCCCGCAGTCTGTACCCAGTCCATCAGAGCCGACACCTTGCGGAAGCCGCAGTGAGGTGCAGCAGGAAGTCGGTGGCGGGTCCCTGCGCGCTTTGGGGGCAAAGACCTGGACGTGGCCGCCATTCCTTGGGTTGGCTTGAGGTGGAGCCCAAACGGCAATGGGTGCTGGGCCTGGGCCTCCGCCACCGCCTGTTTTCCTTCCTCCCCCATCCCGTTCCCGGCCTGTGCTGCTCCCCTGCCCTCCAAGCTGGACGCTCCTGGTCCCAGTGCTGAAGTGCTCCCCCTCCTCTCTGGGAGTGTAGGGGTCCTCTGTGAGGTCCCTGTAAAGAGAGGGCTCTCGGTGTCATCGCACCCTGGATTGACGTCGTTTGTGGTTGATTTTAATTTTGTCAGTTAATACATGGTGTCTCCAGTTTTAGGGGAAAGAGAAATGACAGTATAATTTGTGAAAGCCCCACTCTCCTTCACCCTCTTCTGTCACTCACATGTCCTGAGTGGGCCAGCAGGACTGTCCCTGGGCTGTGTCCACCGTCTGCCACCACAGGGTCCTGGGTGTTGGCCGTGCCAGTTTGGTGGGCGGTCCTGCTGCAGCTCTACTTCCGGGCACTTGGCACTGTCTGTGTGTTGCTGGTCACAGACACGCGTTCAGTTGACAGCCGGCCTCCTGGGCCGGCTCCAAGGTTTCTTACTGGTGTGTCAGGTCGCTGCATTAACTAAGAATTCCAAGTGCTGGCATTTATGTTCCAAGGGTTTTTTCCTAGGCTTTCTCCCCAGGTCACTTGTCTTTGGGTCTCCCTTGCTGAACCCATCGGTTTACAGGGCCAGGCGGGGTCCCGCTGCCCCAGTACCCACCCTGCTTATGCCCTTCTTAGCACACTCCTGTTGTCACTGCTGGTTGATTGGCCGGTGTGTGTGTGTCCCTCACCTGACACCCTCTGTCCCCTTCCCAGCCCCCGTCAGCACACACAGCACATGTGTGCCGGGTTTGGGCCAGGGAACAGGTTGAGGCGTGCCGGACGTCCTGGCTGGCTTGTTTGCCCCAGCGGGGTGGCTGGAGGGGAAAGCAGGCATCCCGGGACCGTGTCCTGGATGGTTTTCTGCAGAGCGTGTCCAACCCACCTCCAGGGCTGGGCATGTCCCTGTGCAGCTGGAGCGCTGCTCCCAGGGATGTGCTCTAAGTTCTGGGGAGACTGCTGTTGAAACAATAAACTCTTTGTTGTGGGTGTATGACACACAGAGCTCCTGGAATCCATCCTGACTCCTTGGGGCCAAGGCCATTTCGAGGTGGTGACATCAACACTATAGCCAGGGTTGGGGGAGGGACCAGAGGTTCAGGGAGGGAACCAGGAATTGGGGGAGGGAGGCTTGAGGTGAGAGAAAGGAAGCCAGGGGTAGAGGTGGGGGAACACAGTGTCAGGGACAGTCTAGGGGTGACATCGGTAGGACATGGTCTTAGGTGGCTATCACACTCTCTGCTCCTGGCTGGGAGGGGAGGTGGGCACATGGCCTGAGGGGGAGGAGGGCTTCAACCATCCTCTTTTTGTATAAAGCCCATAGATAAGAAGCCAGAATAGGCTGCCCCACAGTTGTCCACCACGGTCACTGGGATCCCCTTTCACAGGTTCCCTGGTGATTCTGGTGAAGGCACTTTTAACATTGGCTAGCATCCTGTTGCCATCAGGAGCAATGATGCTTTATGTGTGGTCGTCAGTGGTGTCCCCTCTGTGACCCACCCCTACTGCCCTAGACAGCTGGTCCCAGGAAGGGAAGCCAAGGCATGAGGTGGGTGTGACAGATCCCAGACAGCGCCTGCAGTCCTCAGTTCCTGCTTCAGGCACCCCAGCAGTCACCATTCACATCTAAGGAGACAACACTAGATCAGAATTTTTATGCTGATCAGAGCAGAGTACATGCATACCACACGTGTGTGGACACACGTGCGCATGTGCACACACACACACACAGGCACAGGCACACATGACCGCACAGATATGCACACATGAAAAACATGCTTATACACTCACAGAGATGTACGCATACATGAATGTACACATGTGTGCGTACAAGCACAAATGCTCGTACATACATGTCATACCTACACAAATGCACATGTACACAAAAACTCTGGTGCACACAGATACACACATGCATATATGCACACACATGTGTACACACAGACATGCGTATGCACAGTTTCGTGACCTAGCCCTTACCCTTGCTGCTTGCTGTGTTCTGTGTATGCCTTTTTCTCTGCCACCACCCCTGGCATGATTCAAGGTCATTCTGGTGGAAGCTGCCATGGGGCAGGCACTGAGTGGTGGGCTCAGAGCATTTAAAGTGGGACCGTGCACACCTGTGAACCAGCACAGTTACCTGTAGGTGGTGGGAATAACACATGTGACCCTGTCCTCCCGATGGGCCCATCTCACTGTGAAAGGCAGGACTTCACACAGGAAGGCTAAATGCTAGTCCTGACACAGCTCCCAGCACTTTATCCCACTGCTTCCATGTGAATATTTCTGCTCAGTACCTAATGCAACACCCCCTCAGTGACGGTGGAGCAGTGCATAGTGGCAGTGTGTCCGTGGAGGTGTGGGATGGGCTTTGCTTCGCAGTTTTTAAATTATACAAAACCATGCATTCTTGGCAGAAAAGACATCCAACCCTTCCAAAGTCATAAAACAATCAAGCAGCGACCCCTCTTGCTGGGAGGGGTGTCTGTGGCCTGAACCCTCCTGCCTCTGGCTACTCATGTGGATTTTTGGGAATGAGAGGCAGGCTCTGATTGAGCCCATCAGGAATCTGGCATCTGCTGATGAGAGGTGTGACTCAGAGCTGGAGAGAAACCTGTGGGTACCAGGGAGCCTGCCATGGAAGGAGCTGCTGTATCCTCCGTGAGGGACGCCATCCGTCCTTGTAATGGTGGTGTCAGGGTTGATCTAGGCTAATGGAGACTGAGAAAAATGCATTCTCTTCTCTCCTAAACCAGCTTGGGCAGCCTGCATGGGCAGGAGACCAGGCCTCCCCCAGCATCCTGGTGGTCAGCTCTGCCTGTCTGGAAGCTATAGTCAAGTGTGTCGTCCTGTTCTGCAAGGGTGAGGCCCAGTGTGGCTTTGCAGGACAGTGCCCTCCGGTCCTTGGGGAGGTGCCTGTGCCGCGGTCTCTGCCGATCAGCCCCTCTCAGCCACTGTCTTCCAGGCTGCAGGAACCCGAGCATTGATGTCTGATAACAGTTTAATTAGTTTTTATCAGAACAGTGAATGCACATGATTTTAAAGTGAAGTATTTCTTACACAGCTTATGAAAACAAGTAGCGTCTCCTGGTCTTGTCCCTTTGTCCCTGAGACACTGAGCCACAGCTGTTTTAGCCATTTGGGGTATTTCCCTTCAAACTGCTGATACTGACATTCCTTGACTCTCCTCTTTTGGATGACATATTGCAATGGAAGATGAGTATTGGGCCCCCTCATGTCCCCACCCTCCCTATGGTGTTGCTGCAGATTTTATGGGGGCTGTGTCAGTGCTGGTCATAGCTGAGCCGTGATCAGCACACACTCATTGCATTTCCTTCTGTTGCCCACTTCTTGCTTCCCCTGGAGCTAGCGACTGCTCCATTGTAAGTGCACTTCATTTTCTACCTGTGTATGTGTTGCTAACTCAGCCTCATACTCTGCCAGACCTATAACGCCCACGTTCCAGCACACACACCCATGGAGGCTCTGGGTGATCCCTCCTGCACCCTCTGGGCCTCTGTCTTCACTCCCTGTGCCCCAACCTCTGTGTCGTACACCCTACCTCTGTTCCCAGCTCTTCATCCTTCTCAGGAAGACCTGGGAAGTAGCCCCCTTGTTTTGGTGGAGCGTATCCTTAAGTAGCTTTCTGAGAAAGAATGTGAAGGAGATTAGAGTTTTGAGAATTGCCACGTTTGATACATGTTTCATGCTACACTCACATGATTGGTGATTGATCCTGATGTAGAATTTTAGGTGAGAAGTCATCCTCCTCCAGGATTTTAAAGGCATTTTGCTACCTCATAGCTGTCAGTGTGGCTCTGGAGAGGGACTTGTATGGGGCCCGTTTTCTCTCTGGAAGCTTTCAGGAGCTCCCTTGGTCTCCTGGGTTCTCAAATCTCATCATGACGTGCCTGGTAGGAGGTCTTTTTTCATTCATTGCTCTGCTTGGCGCTCTCGTGTCCTTGTGTTCAAAAAGGACATTTTCCTTTTATTATTTGTAAATAAATTTTCATATATTTTTATTTTTCTGATCATTTCTCCTATTTTCTCTCTCCTGGAATGCCTGTCAGTTAGATGGGGGTCTCCTGATTGGATCCCTCAGCTTTCCTATCTTTTCTCACCCTGTATTTATCTCTGTCACGTTGCTCAACTTCTAGGAAACTGTCCTAATTTTATTTTCCTATCCTTCAACAGAGCATTTTCTCTCTTTAATCAAAATTTTAATTCCTAAGCTCTCATTTATTTCCTTGGTTGTGTTTCTTTATGATGTCTTTCTTCACAGACTCTGGTTTTCAGCTCTCTTTGGTCCACAAACTTAATCAGTTACCAACAGTGATGAATATAGCTGTTATCAAACACTAACTTAGGTAAACTTCAATAAATATTACAAATAAAGGTGAAAGTAAACATGCTCAAACTCACTACAGCTCTGTGTGTTTCACTGTTACCTGTGGTCTCGAGGCCCCGCCTGTCATAATCGTGGTGGAAGTACCATCCACTGGTCCACTGTGGCACATCTCGCTCTGTCTCTGTTCAGTGACATCATGTCAGGAGCCAGAAAGCAGCATTTTCACCAGAAATCAGCGTACACTGCAAAGCAGGCCACTCTCCTACTCCTCCCCAGCCCCCACCCCGCCCCTTAGAGAGCCGGGGTTAGAGGCCTAAGTAGGAATTTGTTCTCGTCATGGGCCCGTGCAAACCATTTTCCTCCAACTGAGGCAGCTCTGCATCTCTGCATGGATGCTGGAGGGAAGGGAAACACCCCAGTGGGCCTCACATCTGTGCCCACAGCCGGAGCGTGCTGGGCTGTGGGCACACGCGCCCAGGGCCTCACACCTGCTCGGGAAGGACCTCTCTGAGCTGGTGTGTGTTGTTTTTAAATAAACTTTATTTTTATTTACTTATTTATTTTTATCCTCACCTGGGCATATGTTTATTGACTTTAGAGAGAGGAAAAGAGACAGAGGGAGAAAGAGAGAAACATTGATGAGAGAGAAACATCAGTTGGTTGCCTCCTCCACCCGCCCGACTAGGATTGAACCTGCATGTGCCTGACTGGGAATCAAACCCACAACCTTTTGGTGTACAAGACAGTGCTCCAGCCAACTGAGCCACCCAGCCAGGGCTAAATAAACTTTATTTCTAATAGCAGTTTCAGGGTCACAGAGAAACTGAACAAAAAGGTCATGGAGTTCCCATGCACCCCACCATGTGCCCCCATGTCCACCCCACTCCAGAGTCTGCTGGGCCCCACCTTTCCCTCCCTCCCGTGCCTCTTACCCAGGCGCCACTGGCCACAGTCTCTTCACAGTCCTGGCTGGGAGCAGGCCTAGAAACCCTCACCTGTGTGGGCGCTTAGAGCAGAGAGGCTTTGGGGAGCCCCTGCCGCTTACTGATCCATCACACAGACAAACATCTCCCCAGGTAAACTGTGAGACTGTGCCGTGGAAGTTACCCCGCTAATCTCTGGAGTGGACATGCTGGGAAACGTTCGGAGGGGGCAGAGCCTTGCAGACGGGCCGAGTTCCATCCCCATATCCCCATAGAGCTGGGACAGAAAGCGGGGCAGTGTGACGGGAGAGGCCGGGTGGGAGGGGGACCAGGATCTCCATTGGGGTCTAATCTAAGTGAGGAACATTTCACGTGGGAAAATGACACGCTCTGGTTTATGTTAAAAACATTATTCTGGCTGCTGCTACTCTTGGGTAAATGAATTATAGGGAGGTATGTTTGGAATTGTGTCTGACTGCTGGTAACAAAAATCTGAAAAACCGTGATTTAAAGGAATTGCTAGTTTATCAGCAACTCTGGGGGAAGCAGGAGGCAGCAGGTGCCAGGTCTTCAGTCTGTCGTGAGGGCCCTGGTTTGTGGGTTTCCGCGCGGTGCTTCACAAGGTGGGCCCCAGGCAGGAAAAGGAAATGAGGCGACAGGGAAAACTGCAGGCGCCAGCTGCGTCAGCCTCCCTTAAAGAGCCTCCTGGAATTCCTGCCTGGTCACTGTTCGTCACAGGTTTTTTGGCCAGAACTGCCACCATGGAAACAGAGGTGTGGCTGCCTGGCAACACTGCCGTCTCAGGTAAAATCAAGATTCTGGTAGTGAAAACGTGGGAGAAACCAGCACCCTGTGCCATTCATTGGCAGCAAGCAGGGAAGCAGGGTGAGGGGTGGGAGGCTGTGGGGGGGTCTGGATGGGAGGGGAGCGTGCTTGCATGGGAGTGGTGGTGCTAGCAATGGACCTAGAACCACCTAGTGGGCGTCCATCGCTGCCCAAGCTTTCGGCACCATCCACACAGCCCTTCCCTGAAGGCTGTCCTGCTATTCTGTGGAGTTTCCACGGAGTATTGTGCGATCACTGGACACTCTGGGACTGCTTGACGAGTGGGTGACTGTGGCACAGCACAGTGTCAGAGACTTGGCCTGGGGCTATGAAACCACCTGGTGCCTCACTTCCACTCGGAGTGCAGGACAGCAAGGTCCCCACCTGAGGCCAGGGGCCAAGGGAGACACGTCTCCCCCGTGGGGAGCGCTTCGGAGAGTTCCTCTATAGAGAGTGAGCACTCCTGGCCTCCACGAGGCAGCCACTCCTCTTCCCAGTGCATCTGGTGCTGCATTTAGAGCTCGGGTGACACCCATGCTGTGGACAGGGTGTGTGCCAGCCGTTTATCCAGATCCCTGGAGCAGGGCTTGGTGTGCAGACCTGCACCTGGCTCCATAAATGGTTGTATTGGCCCACAGCCACACATTGCTGGGGCGGGACTCGTAGCTGAGATGACACTGCAGGACCTGAAAAGCTGACAATAATGCCCTTCTGGCCC